CTCGTCGCTGTGGGTTTCTCTTGACTCGGACGGGTTCGGGCTGCGTCGGGGCGGCTTGTTTTGTCGGGTTTTGTTTTTCGAGAGCGCGAGAGAGGCGGTCGGCCAGACCCGGGAGGAAGATGTCAAACGTGCGGGTGACTAACGGGAGCCCGAGCCTGGAGCGGATGGACGCCAGACAGGCGGAGCACCCCAAGCCCTCCGCCTGCAGAAACCTCTTCGGCCCGGTGAATCACGAGGAGTTGGCCCGGGACTTGGAGAAGCACTGCAGAGACATGGAAGAGGCGAGCCAGCGCAAGTGGAATTTCGATTTCCAGAATCACAAGCCCCTGGAGGGCAAGTACGAGTGGCAAGAGGTGGAGCAGGGCAGCTTGCCTGAGTTTTACTACAGACCCCCGCGGCCCCCCAAGGGCGCCTGCAAGGTGCCGGCGCAGGAGAGCCAGGATGTCAGCGGGAACCGCCAGGCGGTGTCTTTAATTGGGTCTCAGGCAAACTCCGAGGACACGCATTCGGGTGACCAGAAGACTGACCCGTCGGACAGCCAGACGGGGTTAGCGGAGCCGTGCGCCGGGATCAGGAAGCGACCTGCGGCAGACGGTAAAGACTCTTGCAAGAGCGTAGAATGTCTCTTTGGGCCCCCCCGCTTCGCCTGCTCGAGGGTATTAACCTCAGCTTGCTTTTCAGCGCATCCAGATTTAGCTTCTGGGGAGCGAACTTTATTAGTCTTAGTCTTTAAATGCTACCTGGCTGACTGCTTGTCTATGATTTTTAAGTCAGAAGCCGGAGATTGTAAAATCTGTTAATTTCCCTAACTTAACACATCGCAGTTCCTCCCAGCTAGCCAGCCGTAGGTATGTGACAACTTTGGGATGTTTATCAACAGTCTCCTTCTTGGCGATGGAGAGAGATTTGGGGTGGAGAATACACTTTCTGTTATGTGAAAACAACCTCATTTTGTGCCCTTAAAGGCCACGGGGGATGACTGATCCAGGGTTGTGGGTGGAGGTGGTGGGTTTTTCATCCCCTGGCTATTGGGCCAACTTCTGTGAGCCATTGTTTTTTCTAATAAAGATTGTTTGTGTGTATTCTTTTTAATTTTTTCCTTTGCCTTTAGATTCTTCTTCTCAAAACAAAAGAGCCAACAGAACAGAAGAAAGTGTGTCAGACAGTTCCCCGAATGCCGGTTCTGTGGAGCAGACGCCCAAGAAGCCAGGCCTCAGAAGACATCAGACGTAAACAGCTTGGTGGGTTGATGAGTAAAAGCGCATACCTGACACCCGAAGGAACTGGGCCACCTGGGCCGCAGGAACCCAGGGCCTTCAAACCCCTCCATACCCGATCTTATAGGTTGCAGGCAGATTAGGAGCTTGAGGAGTTTTGTTTAGTTTGTATTTTTCGAGGTCAAAAAAAGTAGCAACGGGAAGGCTAGGAATCACTGTGGG